GCGCAGTCCCCGCGCGCCCGCCCGGCCCAGGTCCGCGCCCCTCTCCGGCCTGACCAAGGGCCCTCTTCCCGAGGAGGCTGGCTGGCCCCAGGCCTCTCCCCGGTGACTGGTGACGTGAAAGCTTTCGCCTCTGTGATTGGTTTAGCCCAAATGGCAGGGACACTATTGGAAGTGAGCTGGCGGAACACGGTCTGCAAGGGAGTTGGGGAGCTGGTGGCAGCTCCCAGCCCGCAGTGTGGGTGCAGCCATGGATCATGAGGGGGGCCCAGGACCAGCGCTGCTGCTACACCTCCTGTGGCTGCTGCCCCACGCCCAGACCGCCCCTCAAGGTATGACAGCACCTCGCCTTTGCTTCAGTCCTGCGGGGGCTCAGCTCAGGGTGCCCACCCACAGCCCTGGGGGAGAGCCCCATGCTTTGTCAGTGGTGGGAAGCGCTGCTGGGTGGTCGAGACGAGAGGAACTGGGACAAAGCTACTATGGATGGATGGCAGTGTCAGGGGCATGTTATACATTTCATTTAAGAGTCTCTTGAAGCAGAGATTATTATATCCATTTTCCAGTTGAAGAAAATGAAACTCAGTTTAAAGTAACTGGTGCAAGTTCACACACTGGGAGGTGGTAGCGCTGGGATTTAACAAAGCAAATGTTATTTCCACTGCTGCATGCAAGAGTCACTCTGCACTCGGTCATCAACTCACCTTGCAATTCTTGAAAAGTCTTCATTGGTCCTTAATTTCCTTCTCGGAGAAGGATGGGGCAGAATGGAAAAATAATCTGGAAGATCCCTCTTACTCTAAATGTCTGTTATTCGAAGTATTGGGTATTGACTGGGTAGGTTTCCTGCTCACTGGGGGGATTCCTGCCAGAAGTTTCAAAGAAAAGGGATTATTTCGTGCAGTTATGGGCTCATTTCCCCCAGTCCTGGCATAGCAAGGGCTGGACGGTTGAGAGAGGGGAAGACGTTTCCAGGGAGGCTGAGAAGAAGCCCGGAGACTGCTTTTCAGTTCACCACGTATCTGGGCAGAGGAGGGAGTGGTGTCATCAATAGCTTGGGGTGGTGGTAAACATTCCTTCGCCCTCCCTTCTAAGACTGGGGAACCCATCCAGGCCCCCCACAGGTCACTACGGTGGCCTGTGAGTTAGACAAAGGCCTCCCCTGGGTGGATGCAGCCTGTGACGGACCGTGGCCTGGAGCAGAGTCAGGCTGGGTTTCTGCCTCTAGCAGTGCGCAAACCCCACCAACGCTGCAGGCTTCAGACAGCAGCCAGTTTTACTTCTCACAGCTTCAGACAGTTGGCCTTTTTATGGGCAGGGGTAGTTTGGAGAGATCCCAGTAATTTCTTTTTCACC